ATATATATATATATATATATATATATATACATATATACATATGTATATATATATACATATATATATATACATATATATATATATACATATGTATATGTATATATATATAGTGTAATGATAGAGATAAATTCTAAATCGTCTTGCTGTAATGCTGTAAATAAGTTGCATGTATACGTTAAAGAAGAGGAAACTGCAAGCGTGAAAAAATAGGTGTCCCAATCTGGATCGCTGGTCGCAGGGTTAACGGCTATCTTGATTTATATTATATGCATTTATTTGTTTCTATCCGTACCAATTGTGTAATGGAGTGTATCTGGTGGTATTTGAATCTGTTCAACCATGAAGCCTCCGTGGACTAATGGTTATGACGCTCGCCTTGACTGCGAGAGGTCGCAGGTTCGAGACCCGCCAGAGGCATTTTATTACACAATTCCTTTATTCAATTATTTACAGGACTACATTCGTTGAGAGCTATGCTACACGATGTATTATTATGTCCTTTATTCGAACACTGCATTTACCTTTCTTTGATGATATATATATATATATATATATAAATATATATATATATATATGATTCTATTATTGTTGATAAAAGGTACGGTGTACATTCCAGTGTATATTCTGTTCATAGTTCCTCATTAAAACTAAATTAATCTCCCTTCTACATGTATATTTGTATATATATATATATCATGTGGGACTTAAAAATACAGAGTAAATGTTCACTCTTCACTCACAGTTTACGAAGCTGCCAGCATGAAAGGTTTGTACATCAGTAGTGATAGTATACGGATTAGTGGTAACAGGCTGCGATGAAACGCCATGTCCCGGTAATAATGTGTTGCACACACTAGAAACTGCACCTGTCGAGTATCCATTCACTTGGGATATGTCTAGCCATATTATCAAAACGACGTACTTCCACATGATTTTGAGAATTGTCCAAGCCGCTTTAACTCCGATTCTAGTTTCAACAAGAAACCTTGGTCAGAAAGTGTATAGGTCCTGGTCTTCTGTTCGACCAAGTGAACTGTAGCGTTTGTAAGTAATTTCAGTGTTTCGCATTAATAATTTTAATGAATAGACAGTGGCAATACTATTATGTTGGGCTCAACACTGGAATGTACACCGTACCTTTTATCAACAATAGCATTGGTTTTGTTCAATTCCAAAAGATCTGTATTCCAAAAGACTATGACGAGTACAGTATTGACGCAAGCTATATTTCTGTGAAGTTGGATTCTGTTCCTAGTTCCTCATTAAAACTAAATTAATCTCCCTTCCACATGTATCCTCCGAATACTATTGTGTATTTAGTATAGGCATCAGCATATGATATATGTATCAGCATATAAAGTGTGAAATTAATTGCCTCCAATCGAAACTTCCAAGAAATTCGTCAGCAGTGCCCCAAAATGGTTCAGTTGGTTGTATAAACAGCAGAAGATCACAGGTTCCAATCACGATTGGAACTTTTTCACACTCGCAGATTCCTCTTTACCATTTAGTGAATGCGAACTTCTGCATAGACAGCAAAAACTCCATGCTGTGACAACATGGCTATTGTCAAATCCTCCAAAGATCCCATAATGCGCCTACTTAGACGATTAGTACTATCGTCTCTTAAACATAACATTCTATTTCGTGCAGATCATATCCCGGGGAAACATAATGTCATTGCTGACCTCCTGTCTCGCTCACAATTTCAGGCAGCAAGACGTCTGGCACCAAACCTCAACGTGCAACAAGTGCTAGTTCCAGAAGAACTCTTACATATTTAACGCCTTCAGCGAGGTTTGTCGTTGCTGCCTCCCTCTCCCCAAAATCACAGAAAATATATAAACGCACCTGGGAAATCTTTACTGCTTGGTGGGGAATCAACAACACCCCTTCCAGCGATGTTGAACTATGCAATTTCATTGGTCACCTCTTCAGATCTGATTATGCTGCACGTTATATTTCAACACAAGTCTCAGCTATCGGTTACATTCACCGCGCCCAAGGTTGGAACGATCCCACAAAATCATTTCTTGTGGCACGTGCGCTAAAAGGTGTTCATGCGCTCTCTGGCTCTTGCGATATCACCAAAGAGATATTATACAACATACTAAGCGCGGTGGCGCACATTGAACCAAACTTTTCCGTGCAACTTTTACTTAAAGCAATCTTTTCAACCGCCTTCCATGCTTTCCTTCGCGTAGGGGAGCTTGCTGCCCACAAAAAACAGTTATTCAGAGGGACGATATTGTATTCTCTAAAGTCGGGGTACGTATCACTATCAAATATTCTAAGACATCGAGGGGGAAGCCTCCAATATCTCCCCTTATCAGTAGGTCGGCGGGTCACGCTTGCCCAGTGCGGGCTCTAGAAGTATACCTCGCCTATTTTAAGAATGTATCGGGGCCCCTCTTCCAATTAGAGGACGGGAATCCAGTTTCTCCCTCATTCGTTAACTCCAAACTGAAGGCAGCAATAGATTTTTTGGGCCTCGATCACTTACGTTACTCTGGCCATAGTTTTCGAATTGTGGCTGCAACCTGGGCAGCAGAAATGGGGCGCCCCGAAGTGAAAATTCGCACTATGGGAAGATGGAACTCACAAGCCTTCCGCAATTACATCCGCATGTCGCATATGTCGGTCTGAGATTTCAACAATTAGCTGGGGCAATAAAACGCCGTGTAGTTCGCAAACACGCCTGTCAGCAGAGGGCTGGGGCAAAATTACACTCATAAACGTTTCATCTCCAATTCGTCCTGGTTACCCTGTTGTTACACCTTATCCACAGGCCTTTCAGCATGGCTGAGGCAGTACGTCGTCAGGCAATACTGTCCAAAATAATTACTGGTACCCTGTTGTACCTTGCAACACTCATTTCAGATTCAGTGAGTTTACTTCACTGAAACGTGCCTGTCAGCGGCTGGCTGGGGTTACGTAGTGAAAACTATTTCCTTCGATATTGTACATTTGTGAAATCCATTAAGTCTTTAAGATGCCTGTCAGCAGTTGGCTGGGGCAGTTTATGCAGAACACTATGTATATTAACTTTTATTTTATTTTTGTATTTATGGCACTAAAATAAACATATTTACTAATCGGGTCTGGGAGTTTTCACCACTGAAAACGTGCCTGTCAGCAGCTGGCTGGGGCAACGCAGTGAACAAAAGTTCGGCATACGCATCAGATAAGATGACCTTAGAAACCGAAAAATTAGTTAGCACGTTTCAAGTAAACTTGAAAATTACGCATGCTGAGTAGCTAGATTTATATGGTTACAGTAAAGGTAGGTGTGATTCGGTCGTAATCCCTTCTCATACTATATTCATTTGGCCATGGCCTTGCTGCCTGCGTTGGGTGCTGACCCCTTCGGGGTCAGTGGCGCTACGGCACTCTGCCGCTTGGCTTGTTGGCCACTTTTTAAGAATTTTTACTATGGAAATTAATTTAGGGACCGATCGTGTGCGACGGTGCATTTGCCTTTTGTCGTAATAAATCACGACCGAATCACACTATCTGATCATATGTTACTTTATTGTGTACAGTGTATTGAGGGTGACGGTCAAGAGTGGGTGGGGCCTTATACTTAATTCTTAGCCCAGTAGACACAAATAAATTTTCCGACACCAGCGGAAAAACTCTTTGTGTCAAGGGGCGTAGGTACACCCCAAATAAAAGACACTTCAAAATTCGGGAAAGTTTATTTCCCGCCATTTAGAAATCAATATTTTGCCTGGGAGAATCCGAACCCTAATCTCTTTCGCGTTTATCGATTCATGTGAAAAATAACACGTATGCTACTACTCGTTTTTATTATGTATGTATACACACATAGCAGGCCTATTTATGCCTATTACTCAAAGTCGGGAAAGGTCATTTCCCACCATCTAGGAATCATTAAAAGACACTTCAAAATTCGGGAAAGTTCATTTCCCGCCATAGAAATCAACATTTCCCCGGGGAGAATCCGAACCCCTTTTCTCTTTGGGGTTCATTGATTAATGGAATCGTTTTCAAGAGAGGAAAACTTTGGATTTTGAGGAACTTAAAAGTCATAAAAAGACACCTCCGAAATCGGGAAAGCTTATTTCTCGCCATCTGGGAATCAAAATTTTCCCGGGGAGGACCCCTCAACTCCTCTCCCTTCTCTTTGGCGTTTATCGATCCATGTGAAAAAATAACACGTATGTAACTATCATTTTTGTTTATTGTTTGTTTATTTAATTTTTCCACACACATCAAATCATATACAATGAAACATACAATATAGGTAAAAAATACTTAAGTAATATATAAGTAAAAATGTGTGTGGATGGAGGTCAAATAAGTTCAAAGAACTTTAAGGCTGACCGCCATGTACAACATTATGATTAATATACATACACACACACACACACACACACACATATATATATATAGATATATACATACACACATACATACATACATACATATACGCACACATACATATATATACATAGATATGTATATATATATATATATATATATATATATATACATATATTCAAGATATGTACAGTTGATAATGATAATAGTAAAAAAAATAATAATAAGTACCGGTAAATAAATAAATAAATACGTAAATCAATAAATGAATAAAACAAATGCTATATGGAATGGAATGTAAATCAAGTATCGCGCATGTTCGGCAATTACTCACCATATATAGAGACCAGAGACTTCTTGAGCGAAGATTTAAAATTTGCAATGGAAATTTTTATTATGTATGTATACACACATAGCAGGCCTATTTAGGCCACTACTAAAGGTCACAAAAGCTCATTTCCCACCATCTAGGAATCAAAATTTCCGGACCCTTTTCTTTTTGGGATTTTTAGTAAAAATGTTGCCACCCCCCCCCCCCCCCCCATCATATTCCCATTAATATAATCAAGCAAATAATAATTATCTGGCAACCGCCACTTAATTATCTGGTGGCCACCATTCAACGGCTCTGAAATTTTTATTCACTGGTGGCACTAACGGCCTTCCGTGCCTAGGAGTGGCCTACGCGCAACCTTTGTAGTACTTTATAGTACTACTGGCCTATTGGGTGCGAGTGACCGTTCTTCTACTTCACATGAGAATAAAGTTAGGCCTTGTCAGTGACAAAGTTTTAACAGTGATTTAAAAACCAGTCATGCTGTGTTAGTCCTGTTGTAGGCCTACGTTCATACACATTAATTGGCCTACATTATTTAATATTGTTCAAAATAAACTGAATAGACCCAGTAGTATACTTTAAGCTACTGGAGGTCCTATCTAAGTATTACTATAGTATAGGTTCACGGTAAAAAGGACTATGACATTGGGTATTTGGATTTTGGACACCATCAATCCATCATACTCTTAGCAGTAATATATACCTTGTTTCGTCTTAAATGTATTGGGAGGTCCCTGGAGTTCGGGAGACTGGTTTTATATTGTTATTTACATTGATTGCTTTTCAGATAATAAGAAGTCATTCTTTATACCTTTATTATGGAATGCCAATTGTGTCACATACAATGTAAAATTTGCTTAATAATACTAAATGTCGCTGTTCTAGTTACTTTGTCAAAATAGGGAAAGCATACAAACATTTATGCCGCAGGAGATCGGTCAAGACGAGACTAAAAGAGATAACCACCAAATCGGATGGGAATGTCCTTTATTCAACAAAATAACGCAACATTTAAAATATGTACAATATTAAAATTATATACATTCGTCCACGTCGTCGTCTCGAGCAGACATGTTTTGAATAGCGCTCTTGTCTTGCATGAGTGAATGAACATAGCGTGATGTAGTGCACTTGCAGTTAGATATACTGCCGTACAGTATACATTACATACATATTACTGGTCGTTCGGCTGATGACACAGTACTGTATGTCTTGTATGGGTTGTAAACATCTTAATAAGCATTTAGGTAATTATGGTTCCTTGTCTCCTTCACAACATTGTTTTAATGCTAGAAAGCATGTCTAACTGCGTTAACTTTTGTCTACCATGACTGGTCATCTATTCTGGATGCACGTGTGCC